CCACGGACATCGCTTGCAAATGCACAGTGTGCTGTTTCACGAAGTCGCTCTCTTCCCACCTACTTTGGATGTATTGCGTATAGCCACAACAGCGGAAAACCCCTAAACCCTAAACCTATAGCCATCCCACCGCCACTCAGCTAAACCCTAAAACCCTCAGACCCTAAACTTTAGCATCCCATCCTCTCCTGTCCTGTGTTGCAGATGCACAGTCCAGTGTTGACGGATGAAACGTCTCTGCGTCGCCTGTTGGCCGTGTGCGAAGTGTTCTTCCAGTCGTACCACCACTTTGAACAGGACACGCGCACGCATGCACGCACCGTTCCTATGGCAACCACCACACACAACGCACACACAGACACAGACGCACACACACACACAGTCATAGACGCACACACAAGCGGTGCAGCAAACAGCTCCGCGGTGCGCACAGGCTCAGGTGTGGCTATTACGTTGGGGACCGCACAGCACTGTTACACAGAGATAAGCACAGCAACACTCCCGCTGCTGTCGTATGCGCTGGGGCTGTCGTCGCTGCTGCTGCCTGTAGAGGGTAAGAGGTGGTGGTGTGTGTGTGTGTGTGTGTGTGTGTGTGTTTGTTTGTTTTTGTGTGTACATGGATGTGTGTTTGTTTTGTGTTGGTTTTGTGTGTACATGGATGTGTGTTTGTTTTGTGTTTACATGGATGTGAGTTTGTTTTGTGTTGGTTTTTGTGTGTACATGGATGTGTGTTTGATTTTGTGTTGGTTTTTGTGTATACATGGATGTGTGTTGGTTTTGTGTTTGTTTTTGTGTGTACATGGATGTGTGTGTTTGTTTTGTGTACATGGATGTGAGTGTTATTTTTTGTGTTTACATGGATGTGTGTTTGTGTTTGTGGTACATGGATGGGTGTGTTTGTGTGTACATGGATGCATGTGTTTGTGTACATGGATGTGTGCTTGTGTATAAGTGCGATGTTATGCATTTGTCTGTGTTATATCTCGGCCATGTGCGTCTGTCCATTGTAAGGTGTGATCTACATACATGCTTCACAAGTCTGTCACCCATCTATTCCCCCACCCCCCCGAAAAAAATATATAAATAATAAACTAGCGTGTAAACATATAAAGGATACGCCAAACAAACAAAAATACCTAAACTCTCTCTAACCCTAAACCTTAACCCTTCCCGTTGCTTCCTTTTGCAGAGGAGGCGGACAGTGCGATCGACGACGACCTGATCAGCCAGTGCATCCACGTCTTCACCGAAGGACTGGCTGTGCTAATCCCCCCCGCAAGCACACACACACGCACATACACGCAAACACACACACGCACGCACACGGATGGTACACCCCACCATACACGTGGGCGGGTGAGTGAGAGCGATGACATGGACATGACCACAGACCCTAAGGCTGGATCCAGAAGGCATTTAGGGTTTATTTGTGTCAGACGAATTGTCAAGTCAGCAGAGGAAGCGCCGCTAGCAGTCACCTCCATGAGCAGGTGCGTGGCAGACGCTGTGCATGGGTTTTATTTATGTGTATGTGCATGTGTGGTAATGTATGTCTGTATGTATGTATGTATGTATGTATA